AAATCAGACTGCTTTCAGAATTGGCTGGAACTGCCATTACCTGGCCACCAAGCAGTGAGAAACAGACTATGTTCATTTAAGCATAAAGTGTCCATCAGCTTCTCTGTATTTACTATAAATATGACCTGAGCTTTCCAAGAGAGCTTCAACCATTGTTTCACTAAGAAAAGAGCAAACAGAAGATAGATTCTCCTACGGCTGGTGATACTACTGAAGGACCTGTTACGTGGCATGCTGCTTGGCCTGTAGTGTGTGATAAGCAGCTTCTTTTTACAGCAGCAATGCCTCCAGATTATGTTTTAGGACAGGTTTTTTTCTTGCTGAAGGCTGCTCTGTTTTGCAGAGCAAAACTCTGTACCATCATAGCTACCATCATAGCTATACTGGCACAACTGCATCGGAAACCAATCCCCTTCCAAAGGAGATACAAAAACTATGTCCACATTAGCAACTCTTTAAGACAATAGGAGAAGATCTGCAGAGTAAAACAGTTAGTGGTAGGGACTGGATATCCATGGCTTTTTTATATTGGACTTGCCTTAATCTGGTCCCATTGCCCAAATGCTCATTTGCAGCTGGATCTTATCTTCCTGGTTTTATTTCATCTAAAATCCAAGTCGTGTGTACTAAGGCCACACCACAGTGTGAGCTGAAGAAAGCAATTGGGACATGTCAGGAGATTCACTTTGAAAGTTCACTCCTGATCTGAAATAAAACACTATTGTCCATATGCCCAGGATGTAAAAACAGAAGGAGTTTTCCTGCTGGTGTAAATTTACTTCCTCTCTAAATAACGTAAAGTCCATTACGTTCTTTTCTGCTCATACAAGATCTGAGATTTTTCATGCCCATATTCAAAGCCAACTCGCTTGTACTGGCAAAAGTCTATTTCCTAAACGTGGTATACAAGTAACATCAAAGGCAAATGAGCACAAAGTATTTCTAAACATGAGACAAAGATTCCTGCATGTACATTGCTCTTGTAAAAATGATAGATATATTCACCATGCCACAGACAAGCAGAGTTGCTGACACTTGATGCCATTTCTGTATTTTCTGAATTTATTAACATTACGTAAAATGCAGCATCAACCATTCAATGCATAAAATTTTTATTTGTTGGACATTCAGGAGAAAAAATGCATAGAGAACACAAAGCCTCTATATGCATGCGTATGTACATAATCCTTTAAACTATGGTTTGCACACCAACTATCATTAATTTTAGAAGTCATCCAGTCATATTATTCCACAAAACTTTGAGAGTTAAGAGGAAGCTCACATGTACACGAGAATGATAAATGTATTCCTCTGCCTCACAGATATTATTTATATTCACCAGTGCAGTGCCCGTCATTTTTATGTAATGCAATGCATTGTAATGACTTCTAAGTAAATAAATACTTTAAAATAAAATAAATCAGAGAACTTCAGGCAAGAGCTTGTTGGAATTTTTCAGTGAAACTTTTATTGTTTGGGAGAGCCCATTTATCAAATGTTTTTGTGGGATTAGCATGAATGTACTTACTGCGAAAGGCTTCTGTTATCTAATATGGACATGCTAGAAATACAGAAAGAAATGCAGGCAACAGAAGCACTTGCAATCACAGGGCGTCTTTCTATGTACCAGACTCTTAGGAGCCCTTCTTTCTCATGATGCTTTTTTTCTGTGGGTGGTACTTTTCTTATATCTGCAATTAGCTGTTTGTTAGTCTAGAGAGAAAGAAAGGCTATCACACATATACTAGAGCAGTGGTCTCCAAACTGTTTTGATTGTGCACCCCTATCAGTAAAAAATTTCTGAACACATATACCCAATATATCTTTATTTATTTATAAACTATATACATTTACTCCTGTACTAATATATTACATATATTATAAAACATGCACAAAAATAGAAATTAAAAAGTATGAGATAAAGATAAAATAAACACTATTTTTAATTTTTTTTTTTTATTAATGGTACAAAAAATATTTTCTTCCTGCACCCCAATGGATTGCCTTGAGCACCCCTGAGATGTGCGCACACCCTACTTTGGAGACCACTGAGCTAGAGTACCCACCTTGAAGACACGAGTCCAACTCCCTCATCTAAATCTAAAAGGGCAGGGACTTGCTTTCCCACAGAAACTTCTTCCAAGGAGCCTTGACTTTTCTATGACAGTTAAGATGGTAGTACCACATTCCTTTTGTCCAAATTCTTCTCTCACACCACTAGAAGGAACATGTGTTTTCATTTCAGCTATCATGAGTCTTGATCATTTGCAAGACAACTCACTAGATTTTCAGTATGAAGTAGTAATGACATGTCTATATTCAGTAAAACTGCCATTATCCAACAGAATGACTCAAAAAGAGTTATGTCTGTACTTCTGTATGAGCATCAGACTTACTCTCAAATTATTATTACCCAGCCACCTTTTATGCATACTCAAATAACTCTCAAACATAGATGATCATTCTTAAAGTTGCACACAAGAGAGCTTATTCAGTCTTGTTTAAGCTCAGACATAATTGCTTAATACCCATTTCTAAGTCCCAAACAGAAAGTCCCCAAAAGCACACCAGTCTTTCTTTACTGGATGCCTGTCTCTGCTTGCCTGATTTCCTAGATGCTCCGTTCAAGTCACTAATACATGTGCAGAGTGCCTTTTCCAGAGAGATACGCACCTCTCTTTTCCCTAATGGGCCATTGATAACCAGGTTTTGCACGCAGGAACCCAATCTCTACCCATCCCATGGGAAGCCTGAAAAATCAGTTGCAGTCAGCAATACAACTAATTTCATCTGCTGTGATGGTAGATTGTACACCATTTGTATAATGACTAGCTGTTAGAGAACTCACCTAATGGTTAGAAAATAGAGCAGCCTGAGGTCATCCCAGGAGATGTGGGATTAACCATCTGGCTTTCAGTTATTGTGAGGTGGAAGATATGCCATCTGCCTTCAAAACTGATCTGCTGAAAACAGAAAATAGTCAGAAGGTGGGCCAGGCTAGGCCTGCTCTCTAATGGCTAGACAATTCATGGAACGAAGGCATTTAAAACTCTGAAAATGGTCTGGAGCCATGAGTCAAAAGTCTCTTTTTAACTAACAAGTGTTCTCACTGCTACAACCAGACTTACCCCTGCTGGGTCTTTATCTGGTCCTGTGATACTTTTCACTATGTAAGTGTTCAAGATGCAAGCGAAGGCATGGAAAGTTCATTTATTCCTATTGGAAAAGAAAATAATGCTACTTTTAGTCAGTAAATTTTAAGTCATGCAATACATGAATACGAAAAATTACTGATGAGACCATAACTATAGCTACTTTTTCAATACATCATTGTGAAATCCCAGATATGATGCAAAGTCATAATTTAATCATGGCAGTAATAACATTACCTTTGGTAATCAATTAACACAATGAATTTTACATTGCTGATATAAAATCATTAATATATCTTGTCATTCCAGTGCATCAGCAAGTAGTTCATTTTGCTGTAAAGTAGAGTCATCCTATTGCACCAGCTAAAAGGAAGGCTGATCCAGGGCTGTATTGTTCATATGGGATTCTTGCTCCCAATGGAGAGACTGGTTCCAGTCAGGTACTGAGTACCCTGCCTCCCTCTTAGGTACGTAAAATTGTAGAGTTTTAGCTTGAAATACAGAAAAATGGTGCTATTTAGAAATTAAATTCTGCTTCACGTAAGTTCACATTGCTTTTACAACTGCCTTTTCTGAACATTTGGGTAAGCAAAGCTTCATCTATATAAATGCCCACAGAAAGCCATTTCTGCATCCATAAAATCCATGTATTTTAGTTTGGTGCCAAAACAATAATTGTCTTCAGTGGCAGTAGAAGTGGATGCTGTTTATATGCTTCAGAGTGAATCAGAAACAGTAAGATAGGGTTTGGCTGACCAGTCATAGCTTGCATATGATTCTAGTCCTGCACAAACTGATATGATCACCTGCTCTTTGACCACTCTGAAATGTGAAGAATTATGTTGAAAAACATTGGCACGTACAATGGATAAGTGATGAACAGGCGAACTGTGCCCTGTTTGCCCTCCCAGAACTCCCAATAATAAATAATCCAGAATTCATTCTCTGCCACAGAATCTTGTCTAGAGTATTATCATGCAGAAACCCCTGGAGAAGTATTTTTAGAACAAGGATGACTTTGGATTACACTTCTTCCATACCTGACTTCCTGAGGCCCCATGAGAGTACAAGAAGAGATGGCTAATGGCCAGTTGTATCACACAGCTCTCCCTATCCAAAAGCACTTAATAAACATAAATTAATCACTTCTGACACCAACAGAGTGTAGCAGTATACAGGCCAAATTTGGGGAAAAGATTTAAGTGTCTGTATATTGTCTATCTACAAGATTGCAATTAACCTCATTATATTCTTATATATGGATACTTACATTAATTTGCATATGAAGCTCTTGCTTATCCTGCTTGCATTCATTCTATGTATTTATTCAATGTAACTCATTCATCATTCACTGAACACTCAGTTTCAATACATAAAAGCTTTCTTCCACTGACACTATATGCATGTATGTTTTCTTGCCACAACTGCCTCCAACTGCTTACCCCATTCACTCCACCTCTCGCATCCACATGCCCCTTGAAGCCAGTCTCTGTCTCTGATCTTCCTCATGCCTGTCTCTGATCCTCCTTAAGTAACTAAAGTTCTGATTCCTTCCTCCCCAAGGGCTATGGGGCAGACAATGAACATGGGATTTCCAAATGCTGGAGGCAGGAAGGAGCAGCAAGAAGGAAATCAAAAACATGCAAAGGATTCAGAACATCATGGAAAGGAAGAGAGTGCAGCAGGTGAACTGCAAAGTATCAAGGATAATCAGGAGTTTATTTTCTGAGCATACAAATTTTCCGAAATAAAAAGTTATGTATTAGTTGCTTTCAGAGTAGATCTCGGACTATTCAAAATACATATACATATACATTCCTTTCTTCAGGGAAGGAAGCAGATTTGCTTCACATTCTGTGAAGCTCAAAGAAATCCTCAGTGCTGAGAAAACAAAAGTACCTATTGACACAATTGTGCCTAGCTGATCTCTAGGCTTGGTCTCACTGACTGCAGTAGCAGCCTTTATTGAAGAACTGCTAAGAATTCTAAACGTAAGACAAACCCCTGGTTTGCCAAAAATGAACATGGAGGGAACAGGGAAAACAAAGACAGCAGGCACAAGCAGCAGACCACTGCTTTAGCTCTCTCCTGAGCACTGAGAAAGACAGCTAATTACTTTGCCAGTACACCTCAAGCCTAGACTTGAAAAATCCGTAGCCCCTGTATTATGTGAGTGCAGATACTGGTGACAGTTTTTTGAACCTGTTCAGGGATATGTCTCCTAATACGGTCTCCTCAAACTTTCATGGTTAAAATGTTCCATAATACTAAAGTCAGATATGTTACGTTATTTCCATTTGTAACGTCGAAGTTACACAATAAACCAAAATGACATTTTTCTGTTTTAAAATATTTCTCCAGTAGCAAGCCACAGATCTGCAACAGTAACTGGCACTGTGATTTTTTTTTTTTTTAGATCCATTTGCAGAAAATTAAATATGTGTTTTATATCCACTTTTATGCTTAACATAACAGCAGCTACATCAAAAAGTTAGTATAGCTCTGGTCCAAGCTTTCATACATTATTCTCCAGATGACTGAACCAAGTCCCATAGAAATGTTTTCAAATAAATATAAACATTTATTTGAAGTAGCTACTCACAGGATAGGGTTTTTTTTTTCCCCCAGAAATATTACCTGCAGTCTGTTTCTGGAAGCAACACCTTGCTTTAAGTGGTTTCTGTAGCGTTTGCAAACTCTTCAGACATACAGTCCACTGAGAATACAACTGAAACTGCATGTTGTCTCACCCTATACCAGTTTGTAATATTGCCTACAAACAAAAGTAAAAGCCAGACCAATTATGGCTTGAACACTACCAGTGTCACACTGATAACTGACTACCCTTCTTTGTTCTTGTATTTTTCTAAGACCTCAAGCATAGGATATGCTTCCCTTTCAAGCTCCAGCCTGTTCCTGACCTAACAGCTCTCATACAGTTTGGAAATTCTAACTTTCACCTCCATTTGTTCCATGAGGTCAGCCTCCACTGTCCACTTACTCAATTTTCTAACAACATTTTCACCTTGTCCCATGCCAAATTCATGTAGAATTTTCACTAAGCATTTGCAAAGACTTTCTTTCTCCTCCTTCAAGTCACTTGTTGAAACTTTGATTTACAGCTAAGAACACTGTCAATCATGCTAATCAATATTTCATCGTGTCTTTATGCTCACACATTTTAAGCATCCTTTCTCCTGTCCTGTGCACAGACTGTAAATTGCTTAGGAAGTATTTTTTTGATCTGGGTTTATAAACTACCTGACACGCAGATTATGACTAGCATTCCTATGTGCAGATAGGAAGATAACGTATGACAAAAAATAGTAATTTTTGTGAGGAACATCAAGAAGAGAGGCATTCGTAGGAGAAGAGCAGTACTTCATAACGCTCCACCAAGGCTTTTGATCAGTATCTACCCAGAAAGAAGAATGCCATCCACTAAGCTGGTAATACAGATGAGTCATTAAAAGTCTTTTTACGGTAATCATTTGACTTAGGTCAGGCAAATCTACATAATATGAAGGGGAAAAAAGTTCAAGATAGCAAGGCAGAAGAAACAAAGGAATGAAGAGGTATTTTAAAAACAATTATTTTGTTTATCTAACACAGAGCTACACCATAAGAATCTGAATTTTTCCACAATGGTTATCCCACATTCATATCAAATGACTTGGAACATTAAGACCTCATTTAATACAGTCATTGTTTAGAGTGTTTAAAAATTCATTAACTCACTGTATAAGCCCACTTGCTGAGATTCATGCTAAATATTCTTCCCTGAAAACAGCGCCACACCTGCATAAAAGAAAATTGGGTATAAATTGGGAAAAAAAGGTGCAAAAAATGATGTGCAGAACTATTTCTGTACAATATTACCTGTCTCAGCTTGCACTGAAGAAAATACCATAATTAAATAACTATGGAGCTTACCAGAGCAATTTATTTTATAACATTAATGTGTATCAGCCATATGGTGGTACAAAACAAGAAGCAGGATGTGCCACAATGCTTACTTCCCAAGAGTCTTACTTTGCATGTATGTTATAAAGATTGTTCTACAGAAATAATAGAACAGATTCATTGTTTGCTTTTTTCCTAAATGGAGCACTCTAAATATCAAGCATTCTTTACAGAAAGCATAAAGTTAAAATAATATTTGAGGGCAGCATTAGAGAGGAATGATCAATGGGAAGAATAACAGTTTTTGTCTTTTATTTATTATGGTAGCATTTGGGGACCCCACACTTGGACCAGAAAACCATTGTGCTTGGAACTGTGCAAGAATATAAAAAAAAAAGAGAAGAAAACATTGTTGATCCTATACTAAACCCCAACTTCATCGTGACTTGATTTTGATTTTATAATACATAGGTATACTGAGCTTTGTACTCCACTCAGAATGCAAAGCACAGATGTGCTTTGTAGTCAAGTGCATTTTATTTGCTTTATTCAAGCTATAATAGGAAAGGCCTGCTTATATCTACAAGCACTTCCAAAAGGTTTAGATAAAAGCATCTCTCTTAGGTAATTCATAATACTTTTTACACAACAAGATGAAGATGAAAGAAGTTTGCTTCCTAAAATTGGGACAGAACATCAAGAAAGCATGTAGATATGGTTCTGTATGCAACCTGAACAATTTTTCAATATTAAAAGTCATGAAAATCTTGAAAATCTCTGTTACATTAAAAATATCAGGGTATGTCAACACTCTTTATTTGGAACACAATATTACAAGAAATTCCAGCTGTGGTGGAATGGTGGAATTATTTGGAACACAATATTACAAGAAATTCCAGCTGTGGTGGACCTTTAACTTTGTGATGATATAGCAAAAATATTGAAAAAATAATGGTATGGCACCAACCTCAATGTATTATTGTCTACAGACATCAAATTTGTTAAATACAGCTAAGTCTCGGGTTTGCATGATGGCAGAAATATTTAAGAAAAGAAGAATGTAAACACATGAGGTAAGATAGTCATTGTATTAGACTGAAAAAGTCCTCCAGAAGTTTCATCAGGAATGCTGTTTGCTAAAACATCTGCCAAAATGAGAGGCTTCATCTCCTTGGAGCTTTGCCTACGTTATGCCTGAATGACTCCAGGAAAACAAGATTCTCTGCTTAACTATCTCAGAGAGCAGAAAGTATGCAAAAAAGTTATTTTAATTACCACCCAATAAAAATTAATATTCAATTTTGTTGAGGTTTTCTTCATGCTCGCAATACCCTGATGGCAAATACTACTCTGTCTTATGTACCAAATGTCTTCTTTTTCTTGCCTGTATAAATATTATTTTCAGTCTGGCCACAAAGAGGAACTGGCATAAACTTCAGTAAATAACTTACCACCAATAAAATAGTTGCTTTCTGGAATTTGGCAGAGCAAAACATTGAAAACATAATCCTCTGCAGTGGTCATAACCTGAATCAGAAAGCACCATACAGATGTAAACATACATGCTAAATTTATGGCATGTTTATGATTTTATTCACACGCTCAGCACAGTAAACCATGCACAGTTGTTCAGTTCCCTCTTGTATGTCATCGGGCAAAACTATAAACCTGAACTTGTGATATTATGCATCATTTTAATGATCACGCTAACGGAGTTATGATTAGGACATTATTTAACTCAATACAATCTGTCCACTTGCCTACACACTAATTGGGGGGGAAAGATAGAAGCAATTGTGGTGAAAAGTATCACAGATAAAAGGAGAATGCAAAACTACTTCAAAATCGTGGAAGTTCCAATAGTCACATGTTATTGCTTCCGAGTTATTGATTTCCAAAAGCAGCGTTTGTGATGCATGATGCTGCAATACCTTCTCCTTGAGGGTTAGGAGATGGTTATTAGTTTTCTGGTTAAATCAACCAGTCAAGTCTGCAAACAGCAAATCTTTCTTTCTTGCTGCTAGTCTCCCCCGTCACCTTATCTTGTCACATTTCCCTTTCCCCTCCTAGCCAGCAGCTATTTGAATAGCATACTATTGCAAATGCCAGTGAGGGTTGTTTTAAACTTTTCCAAAGGTGTTTCTCATTTTTCTTTTGCTGGTCAAACAAGTTAATTTGCAAATTTGTAATAAACAATTTAAGCAAGATGGGAGAATAATTGAAAAAGAAATCAAGTGCTAATAGTGTGATTAGTTCTGATACACAGTATTCAAGACAAACCAATTTCTTTCTTCACACTCTGTGGGACTGATTGGATATACAGAAGGTTAAGATACCAATATGGTTGTTTTGGTCAAGACTCTTCCTTTGGAGCTGGTAATGACACTCACTGATACATTCCCAACATCAGCTGGGATGGCTCCCAAGGTATCAGCAAAAAGGTTGCAACACACTCTCTGCTGGCCTCATTCCACTGACAAATGGGAGTTTCTGTCACACACCTTTCTCCCTAGTATGAAACCCAAATGAAGCTGTGGTAGCAGTGCTTCTTAGCAAGGTACTTCTCTGGGGTACAGGAAAAGGCAATTTTTGCCTTATGAATATGCTATAGCGTCTTTTCCAAACTGAGTTCTTTAGGTTTAGTTGAGAATGCCTCCAATGTCTATCCACTGTGTTCCTTTAGGTGCCGTGGTCCAAGGCAGGAGGAGAAGGCATCTGCAGGCACAGCAGAACCCTCTTCTCACCCAGAAAGCCATCTCCGATGGCTCCCCCTTTGCACATG